CTCCCCAAAAGAAATGAAATAAGTGTTCTTGTGTGTATGTAGACATATTTTATGGTATTATATTCTGTTGGAGGAATCATATCAAAGATTTTAGTTCAGTGTAAACACTGACAGTTTTAACAACCCCTCTCATGGCAACACAGATTGATTACAATCACCAAAAGGAAGTAAGAACTTCGTTATCTAATTTGAATTTTTAAAAGTATTTAAAACTCATTCACTTTGTCCTCTACTGAAAATTTTATGTACTTTGCAATGGCACTTGCATTTTCTCTGGGGGAGTTTGAAGTGACTGGAATTATTTATTCTTTAATGAAATGTCTGAAGATCAGTTCAAGTAAAAATCCTTTGAAAAACATTAGATTTTGTCTTAAATTAAAATATTAAAGTATCATGATTTTTATTAAGATTATCATTATCAGTAGTTTCTCTGCTCTTTAAATCACTTAAAGTCCTTTTGGAAACAAGATGAACAAAATGAGAGTGAAAGGGGATGTTGGGAATTCCCAAAATATGTAAATATATAAAATATTTTCCTCAAAATATATAAAATATTCTTTGGGGCTACAAGCTAACAAGGAGTTCATAACATAGATTTAGAAATTAAAAACTAACAAAATAAAAGCATATGGCATTGTACACTCAAGAGCCTATAGTCCCTGAGCTGCCTAGAAAAGGAAAATAAGAATTTAAATATAAAATCATGGCACAGCTCATCACATAACCTGCAGTATTAGAATAAAAGTGGTTAGAAAGAGCAAACTATGGAGAATCCAAAAAGGCAGTATGAGAAACTGACAGTACCTACTTCCCACTGCCACGTGGGTGACAATGATCAAGTGTGAGGAACTTCAGGAAGGAGAGAGAAGGGCTACAATAGTCAAAGGTCTTCTTAGGTGACATTGGACTTCAGCTGGCCATGTTGGACAAATAGAATTTGGGAGGAGTTGAAGGGAAAAGAGAGACAGGATTTGAAAGAAGACATGGAGAATGGACTGAGTATAGCACAGAATAGAGAAGAGTTAGAGTGACTTAGGCAGCCATTGCCACCATGCCAAGCAATGTATCCAAATTATCAAGCCAGGAAGAACGGGGGTGAGTAAAACTATAAATAGTTTCCAAAAGGAACAACTGTAATTTAAAGGTAAATACATAAATACAAGTACCATGGGCCTCTGATTGAAAATGGTGGCTTTCATAAATTACTTTACCAGCAAATTTTTCAGAACTGAATGACATTCAATTCCAGATTGAAAGAGTCTAATGAGTGTTCACCAAAGTGAAGAACATGAATCCAAAGCAAGGAACGTATTTGGGGAATTTCAGAATGCCAGGGATAAATAAGACATCTTACAGGCTTTGAAACAGCTAGACCACTATGGGAATAGAAGAGCATTGGCATTTTCTCTGCCAGAACTGGATGATAAAGACAACAGAGCTGTGTTTTCAAATAATAGGCAGGAAAATTAATTTCAGCTTAGAGGTATGTGCTCAGCCAAACTTTCCTTAAATGTGAAGACAGAAAGTATGATAGACATGAACTCACTCTTTTGGTTGTTTTTGTTGGTTGTTTTTCATTTGTTTTGTTTCTGTTTTATGATTCCATGCATTCTTCTCTAGAAGCTACCGAGGTGAAATCCCACAAAAATGAGGTAAGTTAACAGACCAAAAGAGAAAGATGGAGAATCCAAAACTCAGAAAATAAGAGAGTTATAACAGCTCTAAAAGTAATTGGCAGAGGAGGCTGGGCCAAAATCGCAAAGTAGAAGGGCACGTAGCTCACCGTCTCCCATGAATAAATTAAAAACTGCTCTACACAGTTCCATAGAATACCTACTGAACTTTGGCAGAATATCTCTAACATCAGAAATACAAGAAGAATCATCACAAGACCAGATAAACATCAAGTTTATATTGTACAGCAGAGGGAACTATATTCAGTAGCTTGTAGTAGCCTGTAATGAGGGAGAATATGAGGAGGAATATATGTATATGTATTTATGACTGAAGTATTATGCTGTGCACGAGAAACTTACCTGACATTGTAAACTAGACTATACTTCAATTAAAAAAGAACAAAAAGTTATTGGCAGAAATTTCAGTATTTGAATGGAGGATGGAAATTTTGAGAGGGCTCAGGGGAAATAAAACTTGAATCAATAATTTTCAGAAATGTTTGAGCCATTTGGAAAAAAATACTGTTAGCCATATAATGGTAATGGTAGACATAATTTATAATGGGTATGTTAAAATTATGCAAGTGACCAGGAAAGAAACATGATCTTCATGCATTATTTGACTCTACAGGGAATAACATACCCAGAGGCATAATAATATAAATGTTGGCATTATTTGAATACATTTTTATTGACTCTATTGGGAGGCTAGAAGAAAAATAGGAACTGGGAGTGAATTATACAGTGGTGAAATGATGAAGCAGGACTCACACTGTTTTATTATAAGTATTTGAGCACTGTATTTTTAATTTTATAATTAAATTTTCTTTAATTTTTTCTAAAAAAATGAGAAACATCCTCGAGTTTATAATATCGAAAATCTTTATAAAAAATTCACTTGCTTCCTGTCTGGGACTGGATAAAATTAACTCCCAAGGTTTTCTTTATTTTGATTTAGGGCTTTAAATTATAGCAAAAATGACTAATCTTGTCAACTAACCTGAGAAATTGTAGTACTGGGATAATTGAATTGCTTTGTGGTAACTGTTGGGGTGCAACCTTGGGAGTTTCCACAGTGAAACTTAAAACTGGCCCCAGTACACGGAGGGCAAGAAGAGACCAAAGAAAGTGGCAGCCAACTCCCACTTGGTTGGAGGCAGTTTTAATGAGCTTGTCTTGGGTTACTGCAGGATGAGTAGATCTTCACACCTGTCCACCAGAACCTTAAAAGTTTACACAGAGGCCTTAACTGTGGTCAGTCACTTAATCAATACAGATAGTCTCAACAAACCTAATTATCTCAAGACTATATTCTTGAAACAGCTGCTAGAATTGGAGCAGTAGGTGAGATACACATTCCTAGGACAAGGGAGGGGCTGATGAGCCTCCAGTTGACTGGGTCCAACTCTCAGGTCAGCTGGTGGTCATGTCTTCATGATGAACTCCTCTAACAGTGCCGTGAAAGGCCAACAGGAAAAATATTTCAGACAAACAAGTATTTTGTCAAATATTTATAAAGAATATGTAAAAAGAGTATGTCCTTAGAGAAAGTAAGCTTGACACAGTTTGTCTACTGGCCTTTCTACTATATTGGAACACTTATTAAATATCCCAGGTTTATATGGTCCCATCTGAAATTTATGGACTTAATTGCCACCTTTCAAGAGGACAGAGATGTATTATAGTGTTCTTGGTACAGAGTGACAGGGATGTTTCTAGATCACCCATTTGTTGAATGGTTCAAAGAAATTAAGGCATGTTAATTTCTTCACATGTTAGAAGAAAGATCTGGTGGGACATGTTAGCCAGGTTCTAACATCTGCAGTCCTTTCCTAATTCTATGTGTCCTGAAAGCAAAGAACTGTGACTAGTGGATAGAAGTTACAATGAGGTTGAAACAAAGAGATTTCCTGTGATAGAATTGCGTGATGATGGAGGTCTGAGCATTCTGTCCCTGTAGTTACTCAAGGAGACTCCCAAATTCCCAGCTCTCTTTCAGTAGAGCAATAAGGCCATTCTACCCTCCAAGTCATTTAAATATTCTTGCATTTTACTCAGTCCGATTCTAGAATGTTGGAGCTGTAATGGACTTTCAACATCATTGTGTCAAGTTCCTCCACTTTATAGATGATGAAACTAAGGACCAGAGGTATTGAGTGGACTCAAACATGATCACACCACAAATAAAAATAGAACAAATAAACCAGTCTCCTTGAAAACAGTCCTATGCCTTTTTCCTGTTTATTGCAACTTTAACATGAGTCCAATCTGAGAGAGTGAGAGAGAAAGTAAAATACACTAATGTACAAATAACAAAATTGTAAAAAGACATAACAAACATAGAGATAAACGATTTGTGCCAGAGGCCATTCCTGCAGTCCTGAAGGAAGGTGCAAAACAGAATGATGGCTCTGAAATTTATACTTTCCCTCTGGCTTCCTTTGAATGGAAATTCTAATAATGAGCCTAGTCCAGTGGTTAGCAAACTTTTGTCCATAATGGCTCAAATATTAAATATTTTATGTTTTATCAGTACCATATCTCTCTGCCACATATTCTTTGTTTCTGTTTGTTTGTTTGAAGCCCTTTAAAATGTAAAAATCATTTTTACTCAAAGACTATGTAAAAATAGTTCACTGGCCACATGCAGCCCACAGATCAGTTTTCTGATCATGGACTTAGGCTGCTAGTCAGAGAGAGGAAGGTAATCAATGTCTTTTGAGAGAATTAAGGCTGTGAATAGGAAAGTAAGCTCCACAAGACAGTGCAGATAGACGATCCTATTGTGAGCAGAAAATAATTTGAGGACATGCAAGCTGTTAAAAAGTTCTTTAAAATCTCTTAAAAGGAAAAAAAATGTAACAGCTGGAGAAGAGAGGCAGGCAATCATAGGCCAAGTATGGACCACATATGATCATTGAGACGAGTTTTATGCAGAATAATATTGTTAGTGGCCTGATGTGATATCAATTAATGCCATGACACAGTGATTATAAAGTAATTATAATTACATCTAACAATGGACTTCATGGGCAGAAAGGAGATGAAGGAAATAAAATGCATAATTTAGTAATGAAAATGTTGTTTACTGAATAATTAATCAAAAATACAAAAAATGATGGGGGTCCTAGAAAGTCTCCAAAGTGTCACCCTTTACAGCAGGAGGAAGGATAAGACTCCAGTATACAGTCATTAAGTAGGTGATTTTCCCCCCCAGTTCAAAATAAAAAACAAGTAAATGGAAATTAAAATCACACTTGTCCTTCTGCTCAAGTATTTTTGCAATGCCCCTGAATACTGAGCTTCCTGTCAGCATAGTCTGGGGATAGATGATTAGATAGGTAAATAGATATGTAATAGACAGATGATAGCTAGCTAGCTAGCTAGAGAGAGAGCTAGGGAGATACAGAGGTAGATTTATACCACATACTCAACTACTTCATATACAGTAACTATTCTTCACAAAGAAAATTACACAGCAGGTATTACATTCCCCATGTTAGAGGTGGAAAACCAAGGCTCAGGGATTAGGTAACTGTCCAAGGTCCTACAGGCAGAAAGTGGTGGAGTCAGGATTTGAATATTGGTTACTCTGATAACAAAGCTTTTGCTCTTTCAGCATCTCTGCTGCTTCCCTTATGGCCACCTTCCAGATCTGGTAATTGCAAGAACTTCCAGCGTTCTTCATTTCCTGATGCAAACACAGAGACTGCTTATGGCTTTAAGCTAACTCCAGTGTAGAGTCATGAATAGAGCCCCCTGACACACTGCCTCCCCAAAGATGAAGCCTTGGAGAAAAGAGATGCCTTGGAGATGTGGCTGGAGAACATGGTGCTGGGAGGAAGTGTGATTATGGGAGAGGTTGCAGATGGGCAAAAGGAACCAACTGATTTTGCCTGTACCTTGACTTACTGCGTCAGCTTTAATTCATCTACAGGTGTAACTGCCTCCTACACCAGCTCTTAACCTCTGACTCTGACCATTAACACTGCTAAAATAACAACAACAGCATTCTTCAACAATGCTTTTGCTAACAGCTTTTAGCTATTAAAATCTTTCAACTTCAAAGTTATCCTATTACCCTTTGTAGGGTTTGGATTGTCTTTCAGGGCTTTAAGTTTTGTCTTAAAATAACAGATTACCCTTTAGTGTCTTGTACATAAGAGAAGTCAAAGCACCAAAGAGTCAAGCAAGTGGGGAAAAAAATACCCTTCCTGCTGTCTCAGGACCATTACAAACTTATTAATATTTAAATTTAAGACAGGAGAACAGCAGTGATAGGAATCCATTCTTCATCAAAGTCCAGAAACATCAGTAGAGAACACAGATAAGTTGGAACGATGTGGAGGCAAACAGTGAAAAGGCCAAAGAGTAGAATTTAAAAGTAGCCAGGACAGCAGGAATACGTTCCAATAAAGTCAAGGGCTGAACCCTCACGTTGTACCACACTGAGAAGCATGGCTGGTAACTACAAACATCCCGCAGCTTCAATGTTGAGACAGATCTTTCTTAGGAAGACAATCTAATGAGGAGGAGCAAATTCCTCTTCTTGCATAATCCAGTCCTTTGAATTAACCTTAGTGCCCTGAAGGAGTACGTGTGTGTTAGTGGACACACATAACTTAGGAACACATACTTGAGAATGAGAGATAATACAGAGAGGAGAGACTACCAGATAAATGGACTGACCATATAATTGCAAACAATAAGTTGCACAGTTAATTGGGAGTCTGAATATGCAATTGTAAAAACACCTAGCTTGAGAGAAAAAAGACTTGGAAGGACTCAGGTTTTTGTTGTTTTTTTTTAATTCTTTCACGTGAGAGATGTTGAAAGTGAGAGAGCGCATAGGCTTTGACAGGTAAATACCATTTTTTTTTCCAGAGGAGTTGAGTTTGTTAATTATCTCGGAAGGATGGCAACAAGGAAAGACAAAAACTGTCCCTAGCCACCATTAAGCAGTCACAGCAGCTCAAGTCTAAGGTGTTCAAAGCTTCTGAGGTCAAAGTGATTGAGTCTTGTTCTTAAAAAAATAAAAAAATCTTGTGTGTATTTATTTAAGAGTTTTGAAATTTAATTGCTTTTATAAAAATTCTTCCATTTTCCCCAAATACCAATAAGGAGATCCCTCTTTTCCTTGCTTTTCCTTTTTTTTTTTCTTGTGGGTTGACTTGTGTCTTATTATTTCATCCTGTAAAATACACAAGAAATATATTAAGCCTGCCCTTTCCCTCAATATAATCAACCTCTAATCTTGTAAGGCTGGAAAATGTAGGAGCATTTTCACAAGGTGTGACATACGGAATCATGAAGATTTCCCAAAGAAAGGGTAGAACTTTGGAAGCAGAAATCTAATTAAACTCTCCAGTCCTCTCCATATATTACTTTGTTTAAATTAGCAATATTGGTGGGGTCCTTCCACAGTCAGTGAGAAAGTCTGAGATTGACTATTGTGTTGAGGTAACCTAATACTAAACAAATCTGCTGGCATTTTTCATCCTAGTGTTTCATTTTATGTGGCCCCAATCTTTTTAACTTCTTGTTACCTACTCTTGAGAGTGGCTAGGATTTTATATAGGAAAGTACACTCATACATAATTTTCATTCTTTAAAGTTTAATTCGTCCTTCCAGGGCAATTATCCTTTCTTCTAATATATTCTCATTCTCAGTCACAAACAGAAGCCACAAAATTTGCTAATTTCATTTGGATTGTAATCTAAACTCACATGTAAATGTGCTGCAGAGACAAAAGCCCAGGCTCTAAGGAGTAAACTATGATTACTTGGAAGGAGCCCAAGATGCCAAAATACAGTTCTAACAGGAATTTCCTAAATAAATAAATAAATATAAATATGCAAGAGCAAGCAGCAGGAGAGTTATTCTGATGAAATAAGAATTGGAATGACTGCCCTTGATTAGAGAATTATTTAACCAAATAGTTATAGAAACAATATTCTGGGTTTTCTCATATTAGATTTATATAGTTTGTTGGCTGTGAATACACCTCCATCCAGTTACTGAACATTTACCTAACATCATCTTTTGCTTTGAAATACAGAACTCATACAACCCAAGTCAAAACTGTCCTTTGTAAGAGTCAAATGACACATTCCAGCATTTGACTGGAGAAGAGTATTAGCATTAGTATTACTAGTAGTACCCTTCCTAGAAATCCACTTCTCCCATATCCTAGCCTCCCCTGTCTACGCCCTATCACAGTGGATGAGCCAGCGCACCTCCCCAGTGTGCAGGTCAAGGACTCTTTCTCAGCTGGCTCTTAAGGCTCACTTCCTGGAACGACAGTTTATCTTTTGCCACACATACTTCTTTCCTTCTGAATAGGTTAGATGTCCCTTACGGACAGCTCTCCTATGCCTCTCTGACTTCTAGCCTGCACGATGCCTTGCCTATCACTGAAACTCAGTAAAGCTTTGCTGTTAAAATTTACACAAATGAAATAGATTATAGCTTCTGCAACTTATGTTGATTCGCCTAGAAAAAAACCATTATTTGAGAAGTATAAGAAATAGGAAACAATGCTGAATTTCTGAAATATTTTTATATATTAACTCAAATGAGAAGTTAAACTTATTTGAACTACAAGCAAAAGAAGCCAACAAATCATTTTCTGAGGCAAGGTAATTTCATTCTTCAACCAGGCTGCTGACTACAGAAGTTAGCCTATGATGCCCCTCTTTCTGTCACATATATTAAGAATTCTGTAAAAAGGAAGTAGTTTAATAATATAACAAATCTGAGCTGAATGTTTTCTTCCATTATTTTGCTAGCTAGGCAGTATTTCTGTCTTACTTTAGAATCAAGCTTCACCTTATTTTCTATTATGTACTTATTCTTGTTCCAAAACAGCATAAATTTATTTTCTGCAAACCACTGAGCAGTTGCCATTAAAAGATTGATTCTGAATCTCTCTAAAGCAAACTTCCCTTGCATTTTATTTTTCACCAGTGTTAATGAAACTATAGGGTCTTAGTAAAATTTAATTTAAGATATCTTTTTTCACATGAAGTGTTTTAGATACTTAAAAATCTCAGTCATTTCTGAAACTTCAGAGTCAGGAGAATCTTTTTCCTACAATATTATTTTAAAATAATATTCTGAGGAATGTAAAGAAAGGGAAGAATTAATTTATTCTCAAAAAATCTTCTATGAGGAAAAAGACAACAGTGAGTATCCTTGAAGGTTTCTGGCTATTTTTACTCAAAACAATCAAAGTGGAACATGCTTTTAAGATAAGTTCATTAGTTTGCTAAAAACTTGTACTTACTGATAACTATAAATGTAAGATTTATTTGTTTTACTCTTGCTTACAAAATTTTTAGAATTAATGGAGGTACTGGTAGAAACCACATTTTAAATAAAATCTCAGTAAATAGATATTTTACCTATGTACAATAAACTTTAAATCTTAGTAAATATTCCACTGGTCAAAGTCAGTAACATAATTTATGCCCATTGTTATTCATTCAGGTGTTCACCAATAATTCACCAAACAACTACTATATGCTATAAGAAATTATAGGTTTTATATAGTTTTATAGTTATGTCCAGTTTTACAATTTGCCTTTACAATTGTCCTTTCCAAACCAAAGAAACGAATTTTATTCCTAAGGCATGTGGATGGTACCTTAATCATTTTTTTCAGATTAAAAAGTCTGGGGTGCATTTGTCTTTTCAAATTGGAGTTTTCTCTGGATATATGCAAAGGAGTGAGATTGCTGGATCATACGATAAGTCTATTTATAGTTATGTAATGAATCTCCATACTATTCTTCATAATGCCTGCACAAAATTACATTCCCACCAACAGTGTAGGAGTGTTTCCTTTTCTCCACATCTTCTCCAGCATTTATCGTTTGTGGACTTTTAAATGATGGCCATTCTGACTGGTTTGAGGTGATACTTTATTGTTGTTTTGATTTATATTTCTCTGATAATTAGTAATACTGAACATCTATTCATGTGCCTAATGAAATACTAACAAGAGAATGAAATAATGCCACTTTCAGCAACATGGATGGACCTAGAGATTACCATACTAAGTGAAGGAAGTCAGAGAAAGACAAACATTACATTATATCACTTATATGTGGAGTCCAAAAAAATGAGACAAATGAACTTATTTACAAGCCAAGAACAGACTCATGGACATAGAAAACAAACTTACAGTTACCAAAAGGGAAACAGTGGAGAGAGTGATAAATTGGGAGTTCAGGGTTTACAGATACATACTATATATAGAATAGATAAATAACAAGGTCCCACTGTATAGCG